ATATAACTGGTGAGTATATTTTTTTATCTAGTTTTTTGTCTTGTGGCACCACCAGATGGCAGTGGTCTGGATGTTCAAGAGTTAAATGTACCAAATCATTTATCAGAGCCTGGTAAAGATTTAGTGCTGTGTTCTGTTGTTGCTGGGCAACCTTTTAGTGGCTCTCCATACAGTGTTTCACCGTAGGTAAGTCTCCCAGTAAACCTGTAAGTGGGTTTGAACAGTTTGAATCCCCATATTTCTCTCTCTCTCTCTCTCTTTTTTTTTTTTTTTGGTGCTTTGTTTCACCCGCTGTGTCTGCATCTGACTTGTGCCTTGAAGCTAGATCCTTTGAATCCCACCATATCCCTCTGCAACCTTTATAGGAAGAGCTGAGAAGTGTCAAATCCATAACCAAATTCAAACTGACATGCTGGTTTCATACTCCTGCTGTAGCAGGTAGTCCTGAGATCATTTTTCTAGAATATGTCATTTTACTGTTCTAATTGGATAAAGTGGTAGCCATATGACTTGTTTTCTATGCCCTATAAATTAGCAATTAAGGATAAATTATTTATGAATCAGTCAGTGGAGCTTTGGCAGATCAATTACCCATGACAGTTTCTTCGCAATCTTTATTTCTGAAATTAAAAATATGATAAATGCTATGTTTTTCTTGCATATGTTGTTTACTATTTTGTCTCTCTTCTTGAGCATTACCTCCCCAGGAGCAGAAACTTTCATCTTTCATTTCCCTGAAATATGCATACATTGTTGGTATTTAATAAATACTGATGAAAAGTCAATCAATCAATCAATCGTCAGTCAATGAATTAACTTTGAAAAACCCAACATCAGTTTTTATTATGAAAACTGGCTTGATGCCATTTGAAATAGAAGTCTGATAGGTTCTCTGTCTTTTCCATGTTGTATGCACATATTTTAAGCATTTTCCCTTGGTTTTTATTGGGTGGAAGACCTTCAGTAATGGAAACCCTTTAGACAATTTTTATTTAGGAAGAACTTGAATAAGAATTGTAGACAAGGTAGTTTACCAGTGCTTGGAAAATGAGTTGTACATAACTATGAGGCTATACTATATTTTGAATGATCTCAGATCCTATAAACAGGAGGGAAACTAGTCTTTCTTATAGAGATAGGTTTCATTCTTACACAGTGCCCTGTAGATACAGTGTTTTCCTGCCTCTCCTTCAATGCTATTGGCAAAAGCTGGGGAGACCATTTCAGAAGAAAGCTGTACCCATGTCTGTCCTTTCTGGCTGGAGGAATAGGAAGATAGTGCCTGTCATGATGAGTCAGCCTTTAGGAGGTTGGATTAGTGACTGTGTCTTGAATTAGTGTACTGAAAGAATACACAAAACATCTGAAGTGGATTGAGAAGGTTGGGCTTAGTCAGGATAGTACTTGCTGTGCAAGCATGAGTTCGGTCCCTAGTACCCATCTAAGAAAGCCAGACGTGGTGTCATGCTCCTTTTTTCAGAGTTGGGGAGGTAGAGAAATGCAGATGGATTCCTACAACTTTTTGTCTAGGGAATCAAGCTGGATCATTTAACTGTAGGTTCTGTGAGAGACCCTGCCTCAAAAAATAAAGTGGAGCGTGATGAAAGAAGATTTCCATACAATGAGGACGAGAGATGGCTCATTGGTTAAGAGTGCTTATTGCTCTTTCATAGGACCCAAGTTTATTCCTGGTGGCTTATAACTGCCTGTAATACAGCTCCAGGGGATCCATTGATGCCTTCTGGCCTCAGTGGGTACCAATGCACATACACACACATATTTACATAACCAGACACAAAGATACAGATGAATAAAAAGTAAAGTCTAAAAAAGGAACAAAGCATAAAAATGAAGAACATTTTCTTGTAACTGGATTGGGAAGACAAGTTTTTGCTTGTGTATTATGGTGTAGCTGTAGTGGGATGATTTAGGCCAAGGTCTGTGTGCAAAAGCTGTTGGAGACATCATCTGGAGTGCTAGTTCAAAGAAATATTAAAATCTTCATATTGACTGATGGAATGAATTCTCATGAAAAGGTAGAGCAGATAGACCATTTGTGATAGAACCATAAAGAAATACCATAGTCATGAAGATGGGTTGTATTTCATACCAGCATGGATATATTTTATTAAGAAGAATTAGTAAAAGAAAAGAGTCATTGTATAGAAGACTTAACTAGCACAGCTCAGAAATAGACAAAATGAAGTTCTGTGCTTAAAGATACGTGAGTGGAACACTAGTGTACAGAAGAGCAAGGGAGCCATTCTCTCATGGTGGTCAACTGGTGGTGGGCATCAGAAGACTGAGCAGAAAAGACATGGAGGTTGTTTTAGGACTGTGAAGAGACTCCATGACCACGGCAGCTCTTATAAGGAAATCATTTAATTGGGGGCTGGCTTACAGGTTCAGAGGTTTAGTCCATTATCATCATGGCAGGAAGCATGGTGGCAGGCAGGCAAGCAGACATTGTGGTGTAGAAGTAGCCTTGAGTTCTACATATGGATCCTCGGGTAGCAGGAAGAGAGAGCATCACTGGGCCTGGCTTGAGCTTCTGAAACCTCAAAGTCCAACCCCTGTGACACACTTCCTCTAACAAGGCCACATCTACTCCAGCAAGGCCACCCCTCCTAGTAGAGCCACTCCCTATGGGCCTATGGGAGTCATTTCCATTAAAATCACTGTATTCTCCATAGGCTTTTAGTTATGTCATAATGCAAAATGCATTCAGTCCGACATAAAAAATACCAATAGTCTATCACAGTATTAGCACTGTCTAAAAGTCCAAAGGAGAGTCCGCTCTAAGAACCATGCAATCTGTTAACTCTAACCCCCTGTAAAATCAAAATGAAAGAGCAGATCACATAATTCCAACATATAATGACACACACTATATATTATCTTTCCAAAAGGGATGAAGGAGCGTAATGAGGAAGTACTTGACCAAAGCAAGACTGAAAACCATGAGGGTGAACTTAAACTCTGCATCTCCCTCCATGTCTGTTGTCAAAACATTCTTCAGATCTCCAACTCTGTTCAGCTTTGTTGACTGCAATGCCCTTCTCTCTTGGCCTGGTTCGCTTCCTGTTAGCAGCTTTCTTTGGTAGGGATCCCACGGCCCTGGTACCTCCAACATCTTGGGGTCTCCAATGCAATCCAGGCTTAATCTTCATAGCTTCATACAATGGCCTCTGGGCCTCCATCAAGGGACACCCCTAACACAAGCCTGGCGTCAGTGGCTTTGTTGAGGAGGGAGATTCCATAATCCCTTTCTTGTATCCTTGATTCTAAAGCCAGAATCACATGGCTAGAGTTGCCAAGTTCTGCTGTTTGCTGGGTCTGGAACATGGCCCCAATGTTCAAATACATTTTTACTAGCTTTCTGTTTTTGATGGTTTTCTTTACTACCTTATCTTGGCTGTTCTGGAACTTACTCTATGGACCATGCTGTCTTTTAACTCAGATATTGGCCTGCCTCTGCCTTCCTGAGTGTTGGGATTAAAGGCTTGTGCCACCACACCTGGCTCTGAGCCTTCCTTCCTTCCTTCCTTCCTTCCTTCCTTCCTTCCTTCCTCCCTTCCTTTCTTCCCTCCTTCCCTCAGTCCCTCCCTTCTCCTCCTTTTCTTCCTCCTTCTTCTTTAAATTAGTTTTTATTTAAATTAAAAAAAAATCTTATTTTACATACCAATACCAGTTCCCTCTCCCTCCCATCCTCCCATGCCCCCCACTGACACCTCCCCCCCCATCCCAACCCCCATCCGCTCCTCAGGGAGGTTGAGGCCTTCCATGATGGATTATCAAAGTCTGTCACATCATTTGGGGCAGGGTCTAGGCCCTCTCCCATGTATCTAGACTGAGAAGAGTATCCCTCCATGGGGAATGGGCTCCCAACGTCCATTTGTGCACTAGGGACAAATTCTGGTTCCACTTCCAGACACCCCATAGACTGTGCTGGAGAAGGAGCTGAAAAATTCTACATCCAGATTGGTAGGCAGCAGGAAGAGAGAGTACTGGGCCTGGCTTGAGCTTCTGAAGCTTCAAAGCCTACCCCCTAGTGACACACTTCCTTCAACAAGGCCACACCTACTCAAGTAAGGTGTGAGTAGTGCCATTCTCTCTCTCTGGGCCTATGGAGATTTTTTTTTTTTAAACAATTTAAGGCATTAGTTGGGGAGAGGGAGAATGTCTGCTAGAGGATATATGGAAGAATCTTCAGGGTGAGCTTCTGTCACAAGGATTATCTCTTGAGCAGTACTCTTCATTGACAGAACCCTACAACCTTCCATACTAACCTTTCATTAGCTGTTGTTTGTTTTGAAGCATGGAATTGAGAACCCTTCAGACTGAGTGAGCCCATCTGACAGAGTAGCCTCCCAAAACAGAAGCAGTTTGAGTGAGTAGCTTGTGTCACTCAAAATCTTTTCTTTTATGGTCCTTAAGGTATTCAAAAGTTAATGCCAGTGAACTTCAGAGCCCTTTCCACAGTTGCAAATAGGTTTTGTTCTGGCTTCTTAGCCAGGAGTGGAAAGAAGCTGACACATTCGGGAATGTAAGTGTGTAGGGTGTTTGCTTTTGGAGGACGGAATTTGATGCTGCACATGCTTTGGTGTCCTCTGCCCCAGCCCTGATATATAGGGTTTCCTTTCTTTAAGTGTTCATAGTTCACCTCATTTTAGAATGGAGAGTATAGAGATACTAATTTGTCAATAATTGAAAAGAGCAGTGTTGGTGCATGCTGGGATAAAATTACAAAGGTCATTAACCTCTGTCTCATATACTTTTTAAATCCCAGTCTGTTTATTTTATGGCTTTTCTGTTTTATTCTTACTTGTATTTTTAAGTCTACCAATTTGTCTTATAAAATTCAAGCTAATTCTGTCCATTTCAGTATATCTATAGATATATTTGATGTATTGTTTTAGATGTTGGGGGCTCATTAGCATACAACTTACCTTATGGTGATATTATTTTCAGGCCACTAATTTCTCTTTTTGTCTGTGTAGGTCCTCTCTGGGTGTGCCATCATTGTCCGTGGGCAGCCTCGTGGCGGTCCTCCTCCTGAGAGGCAGATCAACCTCAGCAACATTCGTGCTGGAAATCTTGCTCGGCGGGCAGCTGCCACGCAGCCAGATGGGAAAGATACACCGGATGAGGTGAGTGCTTCCCCTGGCCTTTCTGAGGCTGTGGGTTTAGTTTACAGTCTATTCTCCCCTTTGATGATATTTTGATATGCTTTCTTTTCTGTTCATGGTGAGTATTTTTCTGGCAGGACAACTCTAGATATAGCCCTAGTAGCTTCTGTCATTATGCATACACTGCCTGAGTTAGTTTCTTTTCATTTTTTGTTTTGTTTTGTTTGTTTTTTGTTTTTTTGAGACAGGGTTTCTCTTTGTAGCAGCCTTGGCTATCCTGGAAATCACCCTGTAAATAGACCAGGCTGGCCTCGAACTCAGAGATCCTCCTGCCTCTGCTTCCTGAGTGCTTGGATTACAGGTGTGTGCCACCACTGCCTGGCTTCTTTTCATTTTTCTTTGAGTAACACAAAGGAGAAAGGGTTTGTTCAACTCAGAATTCAAGGGTATAGCCCATCATAGCAGGAAAGTCAAGTCAGCAGGAGCAGAAAGCATCTGATTCCATCAGAGTAACCAGGAAGCAGATGTGGTGAGTGCTTGTGTCCAGCCACCTGCCTTCCTTCCTTTATACAGTGTAGAGTCCTAGCCGAGGGAAGGGCACCTTCCCCAGTGGAAGGGCTCCCATCTCAGCTAACCAGATCAAGAGTCATGCCCAGAGCTTTATTTCCCAGATGATTGTTTACCTCATGATTGGTTAGTTGCATTAACAATCTCAGAGCTGTCCCCAATCCTTCCCTTAGGTCTCACTTTCTCACTCTTGGGGCATAGATTTGAAGTCACATCTGATTCTCCTGTCTCTACCTCCTGAAGTTTGGAATTATAGGAATGTGCCAGGAAGCTTGGTTCATCTGGCACTGTGATTGAACGTAGGGTTTCACGTATGATAGACAAACACTGCACAATCCAGCCTTTAAACATGAGTTTTTATTATTATTATGTTTTTTTGAACGTGTGCATATGTACATGACAACCTATGTGAGTCAGGTCTCTCCTTTGACCATGTAAGAGTCAGGCTTGGGAACAAGCACCGTTATCTCCTTGGCCCTAAACATGAGGGTTTTGTTTAAGGATGAGTTTACCAGTTTCTGGGCAGTTTGTAGCTTGTCATTGTGTTACACTGCCAGAAACTACTGAGCTTTTTCTAGTCATCTCCTCTTTACCTCCCTCATCCCCAACTCTACCACATGGCTATGTGCCTCCTCACATCATCTGATTCTTGACTGCTTACATCCCTGCCTGTCCAGGCAGCTGCTGTCTATGCGTTTGTGTGCTTTAGGCTTCCCAGTTTCTACATTAGGAATGTTGTTGCCTGGCTCTTTTTTAGCTGTGCTTCTCTAGTCAGAAACAGGGTCTCTGGGCTCTTAATTATTTGTTCTTGGCTCCAACTTGGTGACTTTGAGTAGATTAGTAATTGGCTACCCTCCGCTTTTTCCTTTCAAGGAAGCGAAGAAGAAAAAGCAAGAACTCATAAGCTCTTATTTAAGGAAAGCATTTAGTTCTTTCCATCTTTAATAGTATTTTTTTTTTTTAAAGAAGGCAGTAGTGAAACAGCTTTATAGATAATGGAGATGGAGAAAAATCACCCATAATTGTTCTATCAGCAGTAGTTGGTTAGATTCTAGAGATAATGACTAAATACATTAAAATCAGTTCTTTTCCATTGGTCCTCCATCAGTAACTACAAGTGTTGAGACTAATGTAGGGTCTATTTCTACCTCTGGATTGCTCAATGAAGATTAAATAAGGAAACATGAAGTGCTTAGCGCATTACAATGTACTTAATAAATGTTTGGTAATCACTTGTCTGTTAGATCAAGTACTGAAGATTAAACCTCTTTTGGCATTTTTCAGCCATTGGGTGAGAGCATCAAATGGGTAAATGCCTGGTTCAAGCTTTTCTCTTCCTTTCGGCTGTGTGCGGCGCAACAACCTGATTGCTCCTAAGAGGTAAAGAGCTGCCTTCTCTTAGAGGTCATCAAGCTCTTTTCCCCCAAAGGAGGAAGCAGTGTAGCCTCTAAGAGGGATTTATTTAATTCCCTGTTGTGTGGATGAGAATCTGGGGGCAGAGAAGCACAGGGGCAGCTCTAAGCTGTCGTAACTGTCTCTGGGTAACAGGGCCGTAGAAACTGAGCAGATGGTTGGCAGGAATGATGGCATAGAAGGTATCTGGCATTCCGTCTTAGGTGTACATAAGTTTTACAGTCCAATGTTCTGTCTTTTTGAGAGCAGTTTGGTGTCACCAAGCCTTTCTAGTAACTCTTTAGAGTTCTTTATGAGATGGGGAACTTGGAAGCTGCAATCACTCTTTTCTAGCCCATGGCTATTATTCCTTCCTCCTAAGGCCTAGTCTGTTCTTACCTTGTCATGGTCTGGTCTTCCTCTCATATCCTTGGTGTGACAGGGACAGGAAGTTCAGTAACAGCCCCTGACAACCCAAAGCAGAAGTCTGATTTCCCTTGCGTTAGCCCTGGCCAGTGTCCAGGTCTTTATCAAGACCTAGAGATGCTGCCCCTCTCTGACCTGTTTGTGTCCATGTTTCACCGATATGGAGATGGTTCTTTGCTCAACTCCTCTGTTGTGCTGGGGACATTTAAACAATATTCTCTTTGACTTCTTCTCATACTTCCTCCAGAGGTCTCAGATCCCTGTTCTGCCTTCTGGACAGTGTCTTGCTCTGCAACCCTAGCTGTCTTAGAACTCCCCATGTAGATCAGGTTGGCCTCATAGCCCCTGTTTTAGCACTGGGAATAGAGGTGGGGGCCATCGTACCCTGGATTCTTTTGGAATATCATTTACATACTCTTTGTTGTTGTTCTTCAGTGGTTCTCGTTACCCTGACAAGGCTACATGCCTGAGCCTAGACCACAGTCCATTTGTACTTTGACCTTCATTTTCCTAATTTAAAAAAAAATTCTTATTTTACTATTTTATTTCTCTTTGAAGAATTTCATAGCATTTATATCATTACCCTCCTTCCAATGTCTCTTGTGTCCCCCCCTCAATTCTCTCCCCCCCCCACGCACCCCTTCAAATTCATGGTCTCTTATTCTTTAATTACTATTGTCACACATGCATACACATAAATATAATCCGCCGAGTTGATTTCTGTTTTGCTTGTATGTATATGTGTTTAGGGCCAACACTTGGTATTGGATTGTTTATCACAGGGTTTGAGGCACCTCTGTGGTCATGGGCCCAATGGTGATACAGCCTTCAGCTTTTCTCACAGTCTCCTGAAGTCCCCTCTGCCTTTGCGCTCAGCTCATACTGCTTTCTCCTTCAAGAGTGTTTCCCCCAGTGTGACTCGGTGGCCACCCACTGTCCGAGGCACCGCCTTCCCAGCCCTGTCTTTGTGTTGTGAGTATATTCATAGCGTTTCCTTTCTGAGTGGTACGTTTTTCTCTGCTGGACTGGGAACTCTTCAAAAGGAGGAACCCTTTCTCTCATCTCTGTATCCCTGTGTCTGGGCAGCACCTGACTCAGGCCAGGTATGCAGTGAATACACACTTGAATAGACGAGAAAAGAAACCGAGTGGCTCTTTTGGAATTGGTGGATGGCACAGTGACACACCAGCTGTGCATTGATGTGGAGAACATTGTCTAGATTTTTTTTTTTTTTCACGAGAAAAAAGACTCAGGAAGATTCAAGAAGAATCAAGGACATCATTATCCATTTGCTTTTCTTTGTGTGACTGCCCCAAATATCATTCATATGATTACTTTTTCCTTCCCTCCCGGTATCTTCTTTCAGAGCAATTCAGCTTTCTCCTAAGTCCTGTGGAAACGAAAGCAGTTTCCTTGTATGTCCCCAGCCGTCCCTGCCCTGTGCCAGGCTAATCCCTAGCGTTGCCTGGATACTCCAGGCAGCCTAGACATTGATGGGTACTGTGCTGGTTATGTATTTATTTCCCACAGATTAATTGAGTGCCTGCTGTGTGTGAAGCTCTCTGCTGGTTTCAGGGGGAAATTCAGAAATGAATGTCACAGCCCTATTTTCATTATAGCATTTGCGGATTGAGGTGGTAGAGCAAGTTCGCCAGGTGGTACAATGGGATGGTTAGAAGAGGGAGAGACAAGGAGTCCTGAGCATTGGGCCATGTACCAAGGTCTCTAGCTTCACAGTTGACATTGTTCTGGGTTTGCTCTTGTCTCAGTTTTAGGAGTCTGACCAAAGAGAAGACTGGAATTAAAACATTCTATTTCATGCGTTCAGACATCATGACTTTGTTTGGGTCTTAGCATGGAATGTAGACTGTCTGCTTCCCTGCTACTGGGGATCATAAAGAGAAGTGGTAGTTCAGGTCTCAACTACGTAAAGGCACTTGTTTCTTATACGGGACTCTGGAATATCCTATGGACAGCTTGTTTCTTACACGGGACTCTGGAATATCCTATGGACAGATCATGGCTGTTCTTCCTACTAGGCTTTTGTGACAGTTGAGCAATGCTTGGAGCAAATTTCCCTGTATCAGCCTTTACAGTTCTGGTAGGTTGTGTTGGGATGGACCATCCCCCTGGCTATCCTGTGTGGGTGGACACTGGCCTCCCAGAGTGTTCCCTTGCCCTTGTAAGGGACAAAGTCAGACTGTCCTGTGTAGCTGTGAGTCTTTCGATTGTCTGTTGTTGCTAGTAGCTTATTCAGTGGCAAGTTGCCCAGTTTTGGATAGAACAAAACTTTATTAAGGAGTCCTGGCTTAGATTGTGGACACCCTTTTTTCCCCCTATAGAATCAGGTATATTTCATTTCAAGGCCTCCAGTAGGGGTTTCTTTTATTGACTGGGCAGCTAGTGACAGATCAGCTGTGAAACATGAGGACCTAAGAATGGAGGCTCTTTGAGCAATCCTTAAAAGCTTTTAGAGAGCTTCTTTGTGGTGGATAGAGACTGGGATTTCTCACAGGGGCTAGAGATCTATTTCCTTGTGAACTGACCCTTGGTGAGTGTTGTTACCCGTGATAAATATGCTTCCCTTTGGAGCACTTGCTGAGCTCTCTCGGGTATTAAGGACTGTGTTACTGAGGTTTGAATATTAATGTGTGTGAAGACAGCCATAGTTTGAACATTTTTAGAGGAAGCAGTAAAAAATACAGGAAGCTCAGTACTGTTGATTCAGAACCGTTTTCTGCGAGGCAGTTTGTAATTGGAATCATATTTCAGACCTCACTTTGGCGAGTGGTGTCTTCATCTTTAGGGAGTGAGGTGATTGTAAAAATGAGACATAGCAGAATGGCGAGCTCTGTTCTGCTGTTGAGTGATTTGTCTCTTTGCTTGTTGATGCTTTGAGGAGAGACTAGCAGGATAGTGTCAGGAAAACTCTGGGGCCTGTTTTAGGGTTTGTGCCAGTTAATCCAACCGCTAGACCCTTTTTAGGAGTCCCCTAAGTGTGAATTTCCTTTTCATGTCCTTTGCCTAGCACAGGGCCAGACTGAGGTTAAGGGCCTAAACATTTTTATTGAAGACATGAAGTTGTTTCAGTGCTGGTTGGGATCTGAAGTAGGCAGTTTTCTCCTGACACTTCTGTTTTGTATTTCAGCCTTGGGCATTCCCTGCTCGAGAATTCCTTCGCAAGAAGCTGATTGGGAAAGAAGTCTGTTTCACGATAGAAAACAAGACTCCCCAGGGACGAGAGTATGGGATGATCTACCTTGGAAAAGGTGAGCAGCAACAAGAGTGGACTCCTTTCTCTAAGTCTACAGTTTATCTAAGGATCAGTTTTGATTTGGCAGAAGACCAGAATAGGCCTCTGTTGGGCATTAGCTCTAGGACAGTTGCTGTGGGTGGTATGGGAATTGCTGCTCGGCATGTACACCTGAGAACAGAGGCACACCTCCAGCAGCCCTGATCCATTTTCACTCTGTGCTTTCTTGGGTTGGTTTACTTGTGGTTTACTATTACAACATTCTTCTCCCCATAGAGGCCACTCAGTAGCTCCGTGCTTTGGGGTCAGAGTGCTAATAGAATTCCTATAGATTTCCTATATTGCATTCTGTATTCTTTTATCTTGTGGCTTTTCTTCTTTCTGGGGACTCTTTAGCAAAAGGGGATCTGTTTGCGGCCAGTTGTTACGTTAAAAATCTATCTTATGGTTTGAAATAAAGTAGAAAGAAAACAGGCTTTGGGATCGGATAGCTGGGGTTAGAATTCTGTATCCCTTTGCCCTTTACCTCTATAAGCCTGAGTTTCTTCATTTGTAATTTCTTGAGAGTTTAAAGATATGTAACACAACTAGTTTTGATGTGGTCTACATCATTACCTTTTTGTGCACACATACTCATATGCACATATGCACACATTTTTAGCTAGGCCAAATGATTCATGGAATATTATTAGATGTTGTGGTCTTCAGATTGGATAGAGGGAATGTAAAAGTGGGGAATAGTGATCAGTAATCAGGAATAGACTTAAGTAAATGTGAATAGTTATGGAGTAGATTTTCCTTTATTAAGCTAACTGTGGTTAATTAATTAGAAACCGCCCTACTATCATAGCAACTTAGATAGTTGAGTAGTCAGTTCCTGGCTTGAGGCCAGCATTAGAAGCTTAATGACATTCCATTAAGACTGAATTCAATTGTAGAATTTTTAGGAAAGTGAATTGAAAGTAACGTTGGACCATCTTGTCCAGTTCCCTTGATTTTTTTTTTTTTTTTTTTTTAAATGGAAGATTGGGGAGTAGAACTTGTGATTAGCCTAGAACTTACTATAGAAATATAATTAGTCTTGACCTCTTAAGACTGGAACTGATGATCCAGACCAGCTGCCCTGGGATTCAGTGTGCCTCTGCCTTCCGAGTGCTGGCATTTAAGGCATATACCACCAAGACTTAGTCCTGACATTTGCAGGTAAGATAGTTGTCCACCAGCTCCCAAATACTATTCATAGGTGACTCCCTCCTCTTATTCATAAATTCGATAGATAACATCCGGTAAGGCGATCCTCAGATTATAGATATGCTTACCTTTTTTTCCTTTCTGTCTACCATATTTTGTTCCTTCCTTGAAAGGTTCTGTGTAGGGGAATGTAATTTTCTTTCTATGTTAGTTTTCTTGAAAAAAGCAGTTCAAGGAAGGGAAGGTTCGCTTTGATCTGACAGTGTAAAGATGTACAGTCCGTCATGTCCGGGGTCACATGGAGGCAGGGGCGTGAGGTGCCTGGTCACATTCAGTCGGTGGTCAGGAAGCGGAGACCCTGAATGCTGCTGCTCACGCACCGTCTTCCTTGCCTTTTCTGTTTGGACAGCGACCCCACCTGTTGTTGCCCCCCCATTCTGGGCAGGTGTTCCCTCCTCACTTAAGCCTCTCTGGAAACACCTGGAGTTGTGTCTCCTGGTGATTTTTTTTTTTTTTTTTTTAAAGGTCTGTTTAAGTTGTCAATGAAGATTAAGCATCACCCACTGAGGATTCCCTTTCTAAAAGTGTCAGCATTTCATAGTGATCTGTAACATTATCTAACATTTCTGAGAGCCTTGGGATATGTTGTTGATAGTGGGTTTATGGTCTCTGGCTTGTTCTGTGCCTGGGTTCCATTCTTTTCTTTCTTCTGACTCTCAGTGCACGACTTTTCCCTCATTGTTGCATCTTTTGGCTTCTCTCTCCACCCTAGAATTCTTGTGTTTTGAGGAAACCATTGTAATAGCTGTTAGTATTAGTGATATTCATGTTTGGACAAAGGGTTCTTAGCTGCAGAACCTTGAGAGTCCTTTGTATAAACATTGCCCTCAACATTTCTTGGTAGGGAAAGAAATGTCCAATTTGCCTTTGTAAAGTTGTGTGCCTTCTAGTGACAAGGCATTAGCGATGTGTGCATTTTTGTGTTTGTGTGCACATATACTTGTTAGTGCTTGAGGAAGTCATTATGTCATATACCAGACAGATAGAACTCTTGCAGAATTTCATTCTGTGCTATTACTTATCAGCTAGACTGCTGTGCTAGTTTATCTGTGATCTTGCTCTCTGCCATATGAAAGATTTTTATGCAGTGATTTCTGCAAAGATGTTTTCCTTTATCGTTTTAGCTGACAAAGATTTAAGAGACATCCCAAGACTAAAAGCTTTTTCAATAGTATGGAAATGCAATTAATATTTCAGGTGAAGCCTTCTGCTTAGGTGGGACCTTAATCAGGTTAAGTTTTGTGTTTGCCACCTTTTCCTTGCCTGATGGCTGCTCTGTGAAAGAGAAAAATCTAGTCACTGTCTTCTTAGTATTTCTCTGAGAACAAGAGTCAGTCAGTCTTAAGCTGTGTGGCTTGTCTTGGTGGCCTTTGGAGTGGTGAATATGACATGGAGAGCAACTGGACTTTCTGGCATAAGTGTTACAGATGGCACTAAATGGCTTTCTGTGCCTCTTTCTAATTTCTTGCACTGTGTTGGTGATTTGCACACTTTATTTAATTTTTCACATGAGCCCAGTGGGGCAAGTGTACTCCCCAGTTTAGAGGGGACATATACAGGATGCTGCGCTCTTTGCCAAGCCACCACGAAGCTGGATTGGTGCTCAGGAGCAGGCCTCGTCCTCTTTGTGGTGCTCCCTGTTCTCCTGAACTACCTGCTGCCATGTGTGAGTCTCCTGTGGCTCCCAGGATTGCTTTTGGCCCAGGAATACTCTAGAAAATTAGAAATTAAAGTCTTGGGAAGAAAGACTGTCCTAGAGACTAGATGTCTTGGAAGTTTTCTGAGAAGCCCAGTGTTGCATTTCTGCCGGTATCTTTCTCTACAGTGTCTCTCTCCCTGCAGAGTGAGGATGAAGATGGTCCATCCTGTGTGCTGGTGTAGCAGAAGCAGGTTTGGCTGTTGTGGTTTCCTTCATCAGCTACTAATGTGGTTAATTTTCTTCCTCAGATACTAATGGGGAAAACATTGCAGAGTCACTGGTTGCAGAAGGCTTGGCCACTCGGAGAGAAGGCATGAGAGCCAACAAGTAAGTATGCAGCACTTAAGGGCATTCTTTCTTGAAGCACCAAGAGTTCCGTAAACTGTTTTACTTTGTTTCATTCCTGTTCTCTCCTACAAAATGGATAACCTCAGGTATTTTAGTTTCTCCTGAGAGCTTCTTACTCCTAGATTGTTTTGGGCCAGGAGGTCACTAAGCATCTACTTAATTGTTTTTGATTTATGAATACCACCTGCAGAGTAGGCAGAGTTTGTGGTTTGTTTGTTTGTTTGTTTTTTGTGTTCATGAATTTTGGGTCTTAGACAATGGATGTGTAATTCCAGAGTATTTGCCCAGCCAGCCAGCCCCAATATTGAGCCTCAACTGTGTATCAGGGTTCTGTGCACTGAGAATATAGCAGTAAATAATCTTAGGCTGTGTTAGCATTCTAATGGAGAGATAGACAGTGAAAAGATATGATGTCTCATGATGTAAGGAACACTGCAGTGAAAGACAACAGGGAAGAAAAAAAGATTCTGCTTTGAATCTGTTTAATTAATTGACAGGGCTATAATTGCTCTGTTTTGAAGGTTAGTGAAAACTCTTTCTCTGACCCTGTGGTTTTGAATCTGTAGATACTTTATTAATAGATAAAAACACATTTGTCTAGCCAATGGCATTGTGCACTTATCACACATACATTCAGAGACACATGCATACACACACACACACACACACACACACTGCATAAATCATGTTCAAGTTCACTAGTATTCTCAGTAGGGTGCATTGCAGCCTGTGTTAATTAACACTTTAGTCTCTGAAAAGTGATATGGTACACCAGTAATTTGGAGGCTATAAACGTGCTATTTAAACCGTTAAGTCCTTGCTATGTTATATGACTGCAGTAGCCAGAGAAGAGGCTTTGGATAAATATTTGCATCAGGTGTACCCATGATGAGAAGAAACCAAAGGCACAGTTATTCCTTTTGCCTTCTTTCTGCCCTCTGAGACTTAGGGTCAGGTCAATCACTGTGTACCTGTAGTCTTTATCTGATTGTAGGGAGACTTTTGTTGGACTCTATAATTGTTGTGTGTGCCTTTGGGAATTGGTTGAATTGAGATATTTGTTTTTATAGGTCGTATTTTTGGAAGCATGCCACAGTTCGAAGTTAAGGACAATTACTGGCATGATTACTGTTGCAATGTTTTTTGTTTGTTTGTTTGTTTGTTTGTTTGTTTTTTTTGGAATTCAGTTTGCAACTGGAATGAAACTGAAAGGAGAAAAAAAAAAAAAAAAAAAAAACCCTGAACAGTTTTCCACTGGAGTACTAATCCCATCAGACCTAATGTTGCCACTTCTCAGTGTTTATACTTGCTTTTGCTATTCCTATAATCTAATTCTGGCCACTATAAATTTTGGCTTCTGAATTCCCTGAATATATTTTGGGTGAAGAGAAGGAAGAGGTACCAGAAACTTTTAGCTTTGGACATATTAGGTCATGCTTGCTTAGACAGAAATTCTAGAGACCAGGAGAGGAAATTCAATGTGTGTATGGTTGTGGATGGTCCCTGATGTTTGGAACCCTGCAAAGGCCCCGTAGTTCCTTGATTCCTACATTTAGCTCAGATGTAACAGAAACACGGTCATGTCTGCAGTAACCCTCCCCCTGTTAAGATGTACTTGTTTGTTTTGTATTTTCCTTTTGGGCTGTACTGCTATTGGTTTCCTGCCTGATGCAGGAGGAAGCTTATTTTCAAACTGACATTATCTAGCTGGCCTTGTTGGATGTCTAAGTAATTTTGAGCCAACATTTTCTGTGACTGCAGTGCACCTTGCAGATAGCCCCCCACCTCAATTTGTGGATAGAGAAAGCATTAAGGGTGGTTCTTAGTCACCTTCCTGCAGCACCAAACCCTGCTGAGCTGGGCCTAGTTTCTGGAATCTGGGATGCTTAAATGAATTTGTACCCCCTGGAGTGGCTCCCCTTGGAGCCATTAGCCTGTTCTGTTCTACTCACTGGCAGAAGGACTACATGTTCTTTAGATCCTCTCATTAAATGCTTTTAGACTCTCATCTCTCTTTGAAGGGACAAAATTGGAATTTGGAAATTGTGCTTCTGGTGATTTTTCTGGTCAAATAAATGCCTTGGTCTCTTTTAAGGGAGAAGCTACTGATGATACCAAGTGGCAGAGAGCTACATAAACTCTCTCTCTGTGAACTCAGTAACCCCAGCTTGTTTTGTCTTTCATGTCCCAGCCCAGAGCAGAACCGGCTTTCAGAATGTGAGGACCAAGCAAAAGCATCGAAGAAAGGCATGTGGAGTGAGGGGAATGGTTCCCACACCATCCGGGACCTCAAGTATACCATTGAAAACCCAAGGCATTTTGTGGACTCTCACCACCAGAAGCCTGTCAATGGTGAGGATGGCAGGGAAAGGTAGACAGACTCGGTGATTGATTTCTTTCTGTTTGCTCTCTGTGATTCTTCTGGTGTATAAGATCCAGTGAGTCTTTCTTTTGCTTGCTCAGTATCCAGAGGGATTCCTTAAGGGTTAGAGAACACCCTGGCTTTGAGTCTGTTCACAAAGCTTTCTACAGGTATGTATAGAAGAGGCTAGCCCTGTACTGTTGTTGATTGTAAGCTGTTAGTGTTTTGCACATTGTGTATTTTGTGTTCTCCCAGGACTACTACTTAAAACTAACCCTGAAACTTGGAGGGAGGTAGAAACATAATCCATACACATGTAAACATATCAACATTTATATGCTATATAGTTTTTGCTAGTTTGGGCCTTTACTGACTGCAGATTTAGAAAAAACGTAAGCAAGATAAATGGGGGTTACTAGTTACTTTGCGAGCCTACTAGACGTTGGAGAGTAGAGGAGTTTCATGAGCTTTTTGAAGATTCAGAAGACAAAAGCAGGTGTGTTCTGTGTTCTCCAGGACTCTTCATGTGAACCTTCCTGATCTACCAGTGTTTCTTCTACTTCTGTGAGGGAGGCTTCTCAGGCCTTTGGGAGGAAAAGGAGATGGATTAGATGCTAGTAGATTGAACAACTTTCTTAATGATCAAAGATATTTCTCCTGTCATTCAGCTATCATCGAGCACGTTCGAGACGGCAGTGTGGTCCGGGCCCTGCTCCTCCCAGATCACTACCTTGTTACAGTCATGCTGTCTGGGATTAAGGTAGAGCATAAACTGGGCTTCACTGTGGTTTTGGGATTTGTGGGAGTGTCCATTAAAATAGGCAGATTTCTCTGCCTGGGGACTTTGGATTCACTCTTCTTCCTACAATGAGCCACTGGCCAGTTATGTTAGTTTAACGTTCATAGTGAGAATTCTATTAGATTTCAAGTAATTAAGGCCTTTTAGGTATGGGACATTGTTGGAGTTGTGAAGCTAGGAGAAAAGGGAAGGAGGCATGAGTGGCTCTGAAACTTGCCAGATATGAGTGAGTTGAATTCATGTGTAATACCCATGTATGTTTTAAAAACATCAGGAATTAGAAGCAGGGTGCCGCCTGAGCCTTTCTTGGTAAGGGACATTTTCAAAGGAAATTAAAATGCTTCTCCACATGCCATGTTTCCTTTGCCTTTAACAAGAACCTTGATTGGTCTGTGTTTTAACGATGGCGGGAAGAGCAGTTTTGAGAACTCCCTGAGCTTTGGCTGTGGTCCTCACACCCCTCGCTCGGCAGCCTGGTGTGGGTGGAGGGGCCTCTGGCTCTACCTGGGTCCCAACCCTCATCGCTCTTACTTTCCTTTAGTGCCCAACTTTTCGCCGAGAAGCAGATGGTTGTGAAACACCAGAGCCTTTTGCTGCAGAAGCCAAGTTTTTCACGGAGTCGAGACTGCTTCAGAGAGATGTTCAGATCATTCTGGAGAGCTGTCACAATCAGAACATTCTGGGTACCATCCTTCATCCAGTGAGTGTGGCCTGCAGCTTGGGTTTGCTGCTCATTCTCTCTGCCCAACAATATCTCAAGTTGTGGCAGAATTTTTTATTTTACTTCTGTATTATTATGACTTGAGCCTTTTCTGCTCAGATACCATTTGTCGTGTAGTCGCACGGAGCTTTTTGGAAGTTAATCTCAAATGTTCCTGGCTTCATAAGGCTTTGAGACTGAAAGTTGCCAGTGGAAGGCTGCAATTGTCTATCCTGCAGAAGTAGGGTGTATGGTTGGGGAGGTTCATACGTAGGTCTAGAAGTTAGGTATTCTAGAGTATTGCCACATTAGTCAGGACGAGATTGATATGGGAAAATTATTTCCTGAATTCTGATCTTTAACTACATATCTCCTATCTCCTAACTCTGTTTTGAGTGGGAACTAGGGTTTTGCTTTTTTTTTTTTTTTTTTTTTTTTTAATGTGGTTGTAGTTATGGCTTTTGGGAGTTTGACCCTCTTGTGAACTTTGCACAAGAAGTGACCTTGCTTTGTGAAAACTAAGTGGATTTTCACTATTGTTATGGAGATATAATACACATTTAATCTACAGTCGCTTTTCCAGCGAGATGACTCCTATGGTGGCAGCTGTAGAAGGCTGGGAGGTTGGTTTGCAGGGTGCCAAGGTCATGTCTGTTTCTTCTGGAGTGCTGACTCTCTGGCCATGCCCTGCCAGATGGTTCTGTGTCACAGTAGAATACGAGTTGTTATTCACCAGGAAAAATGTGGCTTGTGCTTTTCCCACTCATCTGTTCTTCAGCTTGCTGCTTCTGAAAAGGGGAGAAAGTGCTGCTTCTTAGGGCAGAGAAGGACAAGGTATTATCTCTTCTTAAGATTAACAACATCCTGCTCTGTCCCCAAGAAGAGCTATTGAAATGTCAGTTCCATTCAGTGCCCCTAACTAACATTTGTTCTGCCCTGTTAAGTGGAGTTGCTTGCTGGGCATTGTTGGGATATGAGGGCAAGGCTGCTGAAAGGGGTCTTAGAGTGGCACCCCATGTCTTGGGTATGATTTCTGAGTTAGAGAAACTCCTTTTTGCTATTTTAGAAAGCTTGAAGTACCAGCTAGACAGGGGCTGTGTTTGCTATGTCGGAAACAGAAGAGTGATTTTTGGGAGCAATGATGTATGATTCGTGTCTGTGTTCTCTTGTGCCTTGTTTCTTAGAATGGTAACATCACTGAGCTCCTCCTGAAGGAAGGCTTTGCACGCTGTGTGGACTGGTCAATTGCAGTTTACACCCGGGGTGCAGACAAACTGAGGGCAGCCGAGAGGTAAGGCCTGCTAGGGCGCCTTTCTTTGCTAAGTATTCAGGGAGTCTGGCCATCTTCTCTCACCCATCTGTGGTATTGCCTCTTCGTTCCAGTAAAGGAATTGGGAAATCCCAAGAGATGGTGACTCAAACATTAAACTTTAGGTCCAGGATAGTTTAACACTGGGGAGTAGGGCTTAGGGTATGTATGTGGGTATGCACATGCCACAGTGTGTATAGAACTCAGAGTTCAACTTGTGTTGACTTGGTTCTTTCTTCCCACCACATGGGTTGTGGGGATTGATCTCAGGTTATGGAGACAGGGTTTCTCTCCTGGAACTTAATTTGTAGACCAGGCTGGCCTGGAACTTACAGAGAGCCTGCCTCTGTCCTGCATGCTGGAATTACAGGGGTAGTCTGCAACCACCCAACTCCTGTTATGTTTTAAAGTCACTTTTCTCCAAGTTTCCCTCTTGAGTGTTCTGTTTAAGGTGTTTGAAATGAAACAAACTTGAGACTCATTTCAACATCATGTAATGAGTTATCAGCTGTTCCCAAACAAGCAAGAGCAGAGCTGTGATGGAGAGGTAGGGCCTGTAGATCCTAAACTAGAACCAGACACACAAGCTGATTGCTCTAATGTGTTTGGAAGTCTGTTTCAATTAGAAGTGCTAATACATTTTTGAGTTGATGAAAACCATTCACAAAACATGGACATTCTACAGACTGGTAGCTTGTTCAGGTGTCAGGGTCATGCGTAGCTAGATAGATGTTTAGCTGCACTCACATTTAGGTGGGTAGATAGAAGGAAATAAAGCAGGTACCACGAGTGACGGAAGGGAAGCCGTGCCATGCAAGCCCAAACCTCCAGTTCCAGGACAGCGGTGAGCAGAGGTGGCACTGGTGACAAGTAGAAGCTTGAGTTGTCATGGCAGTGGACCATCCCTAAGTCCCATGCCATGGGACCTTAGCTCAGAATCTTAAAATTACAATTCCTTTGTTACTTAGCCTTTTACCATTCAGATATACAGCTAAGGGCAAAAAGAAAAAAAAAAAAAAAAAAAAGTAAAAACAGAATAACTGTAGTGCTTGTTAGGCCTTTTTTCTGAGGACTTTTACATCCTCCTGTGCCTGTAAGCAAGTGTTTCTGGAGGAATGTTTTAATCTGGGTCATTTGATAGAATACATATTGTTTAATGAAAAGCCACAGGGATTACTTAACTTTTTAAAACTTGTATATTGTCTGGCAGAGCCTGGCCTACAGAGGGAGTTCCCGGACAGCTAGGGCTGTTACACAGAGAAACCCTGCCTAGAAAAACAAAAAGCAAAAGTTATATATTGTGCCATAATTTAATTGGGAAGATATAATAGCCTTATAAATAAAATGCTTCAAATAATTGTGAGTATTCTTTCTTGTTTGCTTGGCTCAGAAACTTCTATTTCCTACTCATTACTGTTCTAAGTTAATTATTTTGGTTGATAAATTTTCTTGACTTTTTTTTTTTTTTTAGTTCCTGCCTGTCTTTGAAGAAAGTGAGTACAATTAAAATAGTATCTGTGTTTTCTAACAGTTGTAGGAGACTAGAGATATTTTAACGAGTCATTCCAAAACAGGCTCAGACCAGAGAGTGGAAATCACACCTCAGTGTATGATTGCTTGTCTGCTGTGTTGCGTCCCATATCTGAGCTCCGTGTATTGTGGGTACTATCACACTCTCTCTGTGGAGATGCTTTATGTGTTTTACAACCTCAGCAGCCTTCTTTGTCTTTTCCATTTTAGTGCGGCTTAGAAGAATGGTTGCCATGCTGCTTTCAGAATTGCAGTTCTTTCTTCCTCCGTGCGTGCGCCCACTGTTCAGAAACAGTTCAAGGCAGCTCTTCATTCATTTTATTTATTTTATATTTGCGAAATCCCATTTCCCACTTGTGGTCTTACTCACAAAATAATGTACCGGGCTTAGTATTTTGAAATGAATTCCTGACATGGGTTTTGAACCTTAATAGTGAAAGTCTGCATGTTTCGGCTATTTTTGAGGCACACTTTAGATGCACTGTGTTGATGTTTCCTGAATTGAATCTGGTAGATGATAACACTTTTACAATTCAGATGCCAACCAGGCAGACCTGTATTGCTTCAAAAATGTTTTCATGTGTATCTTTTTGTTTAAGAAAATAATTGTAGCCAGGTGTTGGTGGCTTACGCCTTTAATCCCAGCACTCAAGAGGCAGAGGCAGGTGGATTTCTATGAGTTGGAGGCCAACCTGATCTACGGAGCAAGTTCCAGGACAGGGTCCAAAGCAATACAGAGAAACCCTGTCTCGGGGAAAAAAAAAAAAAAAAAAAAAAAAAACAGACGGAAAGAAAAGAATTGCTCTGTATTCTAGTACTCAGAAGATATGAGATTAAGCAAAGGGTTAATTACGTAGGTGGACCTGTGCTCTCCAAGCTCTAACACTTGCATACTGGGACCTCAGTGGGCCATTCCTAAGTTCCTTAGGTTCATGCATCCTGTGTTTTTCTCTGTGCAGCACACTTTACATTTGTAGTGAGGCTTTGTTCCGGTTTGACTGCATCTGTCCACAGGGAAGGGTAGTAGGATTTTCTTCATTGCCCCGATGCTGCTGGCTTCAGGTGAAGTGGACTGGCCTGTGAATGATCTTGCATCCTTACTTTGTTGCCAGGTTTGCCAAGGAGCGCAGGCTGAGAATATGGAGAGACTATGTGGCTCCTACTGCTAATTTGGACCAAAAGGACAAGCAGTTTGTTGCCAAGGTGAGTCATTCTCAGCATTTCGATATGCAGAGTGGACATTGCCAGGCCAGTGATGACACAGGGATCTGAATAATTAGAAATGCTGTAGCTCTTGACTACTTCAAGAGAAGCCTCCTCCACCCTGTGCGCACACACAGCATTTCCCATTGTAAGTTAGAGTAGGTTCATTATAAGTTCTTTGGTTAAAGCTGTGGACATTATAGCTCTTGTATTTGAGATAACTTTTTTTTTTTTTGTTTTGCTATGCAACTGGAATTTCCTGTGTCCTCAGCTTTGTCTTCGTTCTCTTTGATTTTTTTTGTCCCGCCCTGAATTCTTTATTGGCTGATGTGTGTTGGGGTAAATTGCTTGCTTCTCAGGAAACTAGAATTGTTAATAAATTAAGTGGTTATAGCACCAGTGCTGTGCAAAAGATTTTCCTTTTAAGGTTTCTGTAATTTGAGTGGCAGAGTTCCATGCTTTCCCAAATCCTATGAAGCTTTCAGTCTGTTTTTGTTTTTGCTAAGAGGCACTGAAGATTTTATCTGTTTATAGGCAAAGTGGTTAAGAATCCTTACTTGTGGACAGTGGCTGTCTCATCATTTAACCATGAATTTAGGTTGGAAAGTCACTAGGTGGCACTGTCAGCTTGAGAAATCCCCAAACTATCTATCTTACAATGGTAAATTTTAGATTCTGAAGAATTGGCTGATCCCCCCCCCCCCCCCCCCCAATGCTCAAAGCAATATATTACAAAGCTCAACTGGCCTCTTGTCTTTCTTAGTGTCTACATAGCTGTTAGGCGATGACATTTGTTCCCTTTAGTGGATACGAACAGGGCTTGTCCAAGGGGACACAGTTCCCCAGTGTATCTGTTGGATCTTGAGGTAGACCACAGTGGCCCTTTGTTTCCTTGCTTTGAGGAGTGTGCTGTTGTGCACTTGGACATGGGCTACTTTGCCATCTTGAAGCTCCTTATTTTTGCTTACATGTCTTGTAAGTAAGAATGGATCTGCACAAAGGATGGCCATCTGCCCAGCAGGGAGATGGGGCTTCAGTTTGCCAACCTCACTGAGAGGCTATGATACCAGTGATAGAGGTGAGATTTGGAAAACTGCCCTAGAAGAGCCTGTGCACATACATCACACATTATTAATTCACCTCTCATTCTCTGCCTGTCTACATTTTTCTCAAAACATTAATTCAGTTTGCTAATCTTACTTCAGTAATTGTGTCCTGAGACCTAGGCAGTGCTGATCTGGATTGATTGATTGCTCTTTCCTCCATGACGACTTTCACCTTTGGATTTCTCTGCCATTGTCATAGGAGATTTCTTTGCCTTGCTCTCAGATTAGGACTAGGTTTGCTGGAGTCTGTGGCTTTTTCTTGATTTACTGTCTCAGTTTGGTGGCACTTTGTTCTCTAACTTCATGATAACAGACAACTTAAGGTAAAGTTTAAAGCCATTTTTACCTATTTTCCATGTACACTCAGCTGCTAATCCATTGGTTGTGTGTCAGTGCCATTTCTCACGAGAACTGACGTAGTGCTCAGTTGTTATTATTTTCTAGGGTTTTGTTTTTCCTCTTTCTTTCTTTCTTCCTTCCTTCCTTCCTTCCTTCCTTCCTTCCTTCCTTCCTTCCTTTCTTTCTTTCTTTCTTCCTTTCTTCCTTCCTTTCTTTCTCTTTTGGTGATCTGAAGTGACTAATATTTTTCATCCAGTTATGATTCTTTTCCTTTCTAGAAGGGATTACCAAAATCTTTTTAAGCTTAGCATTTCTACATGTCATAATGATGTAACATTGCGTTATGGTGTTTAGACCTTCGCTCTTGGGTCTTTTAAAACTGCTTTATTTCCTTTCTCTAATCTTCCTTTTTCTAGACCTTCTCTTATTTGAATACTGTATTTTGTGGCTAGTGTTTGGGTCTTTCCTTCTTATCGTCTTTGTTTTTTTTTTTTTTTTTTTTTTTTTTTTTTTTAAAAAAAAAAAAAAACCACTATTGTTTTTGAGATGAAGGTTGTATTAGCTCACCTGGGCTTGCCTTGATTGGGATCCTTCTGCCTTGGAAGTGCTGGGACTATAGATAGGCATGAGGCATGCTTGGCCCCCCCCCTCCCCCCGTCTCTCTCTCTCTGTCTTTCTCTTTCATCTTTTCATTTCTATGAATTCCATTTGTGCTTCGAATGCATCGCTTCTATTATTGCCTTTTAAAATCAAACTTGTGTCCTGTCATCTCCTAGCTATCTAGAGAAATACCTAATTATCTAGCAGTTTTCCTCCATGTTCTTTGTGTCCGCCTGTTGATTATTTTGGCTTATCTTTCATGTTAGAGGCTCCTTGGGTATTTGATAGACCTTGGTTGTCTCTCATTTAAGATTAAGGTTGATTAAGATTTAAGATTAAGATTGAAACTGTGTGGATTTTGGACATATGTCTTGCAATTTAGCAGCTGTTTCAGAGATTTGAAGTCAATCCTGGTGTTTGGCCACTTGGTTGTTACTTAAGATGCCCGATCTTGTAGTCACAGCCGTGGTTAGGGAGTGGGGTTCTGCTTATATATATAAGATGGACTGTTCAGTTCCCTCACTTATGGCTCAAGATTTTACTTTTATGAACCCATGGAGTTCATTTGCCCACCAGCTTTCGGGATCTTACAGCAATATTCATCTCTCTGATTATCTTTATTTATTTTTATTTTTTTAAAAGTTTCACTATTATGTTTATAGTGTTCTGCCTGCATGTCTGCCTGCAGGACAGAAGAGGGCACCAGATCTCATTACAGATGGTTGTCAGCCACCATGTGGTGCTGGGAATTGAATTCAGGACCTCTGGAAGAGCAGTCAGTATATGTAACCTCTAAGCCACCTCTCCAGCCTGCTCTGAATATCTTTATATTTTTGAACTTATGTAAATAGATGAGTGGGTATGTTAATCACGTGTTTTAAATTTTTCTTATTTAAAAAAGAGAAGGAACCAAAATAAGTGTTTGAATCAACATCCTTAATTTTGGTATCTAATATCCCATTGTGTATCTATACCATAATTTATTTAACAAATCTCCAGAAGGTTGCTATTCATGCAAGCTGGTAATTTCCCCCATATTTAGATAGTTCAGTGAGTATCTGTAAATTATTGCCTTAAAGGTGGTTGGAACATACTTGCTAAGTAGGTCCTTAGAAATATTACCTGATAGAAGGCTTAGTTTCTAATATGTGTCTGAAGAAGGGTTGGCCAACTTCTTCTGAAAGGGACACACAATAACTGTGTGTTACAAACTGTGGCTTGGTATTATCACCACCCTATGTACTCCCCCCCTCCCCAAACAAAAGGAAGGTATATTAATGTCCAGTAAGTTTTCAAGGAAGCCCACAAAGGCCCTCACACCCACAATCTGAAGTCCACAAGCCTGTCAGTCAACTCTTCTGCAGTTACCAGGCTTAAAGGCACTGATTGTATAGGACACAACTGGAATTAACTGAAATCCTTGTAAGGGTAACTTGACCTCTTCATCAGGATGCTTCGAGGCCTGATAGTTGATTTCTGGAGAGCTGCAGATGAGTTTTTGTCAAGAGGTTCACTGTAAGAAATCTGAAACTCAGCTAAGGATTTTCTTTATACACGTGGCCTGTAGAAAGATTGGTTTCCATCATCTGCTTAAGCAGTTTTATCCCTCAAAGAAAGAACTGCAAAGGAGGGCTCTCCTTGTCTCTCCAGGTTAGCAGAGAAGCATGTTCCCTTCACAGCGATTAGCTGAGCCTGCCTGAGACTTTTGTGCCTGTCGTGGCCTGCCAGTTCCCTGCCTGCCTTCCCTGTGGCGTTTTAGCTGATCTGTGCAGTTTGTAGCCATATGGTCCCCTGAGCACGTGGCTTGGCTTCCCTGTCCCTACTGCTGGATCTGTGGGCATTGCAGATTTCACAGACCTGAATAGCATTGTTGGGGGGAGGGGGAAAGAGCTTGTCCCCAAGAGATGACTTCTCACTGACCCGCTTGTCTGAGACCTCATGTTACTTCTCTGATTGATAACATAAACAGCATCCAACTCTGTGCTTTGATTTAAAACTACTCAAACTCCATCCTTCAAGCTTATCCTTTGAGACTTTTGCCTGAGAGCCCAAGTATTGGCTGGCAGTGGTAGTTAAGGCTGGGGTTGGAGATCAGATTGTACAGTAGCTACAGATACAGCATGGATCTGCTAGAATGGAATCATTTAGTTAGCAAGGAATTAACTTTGCCCCAATCACTATATTGTTATGATTCTAGTTCAAGAGTAATTCAGTACCACAGCTATGTGTGTTTATTATGCTTCTGAGATTCCCTTTCCCAGCTTATTTTCTTGGAGAAGTCTTCCAAATAGGTTTACTGCAGCATCTCATTATAGTTTTGCTTTACGTTAACCCTAGTGATTGGTGGTATAGAGCCTGTGCTTGTCATCTGTTTGTGTAGCCTGTTTTAGGGAAATGTCAAAGTCCTTTGCCTGTTTTTCAGTTTTTAAAAATTGTTTATAGTGCTGGGTATTGATCCATTTTTAATTGGACTACTTGGTTTTGTTGTCGAGTTTTAGGGATTTTGCAAACATTCTGGGTATTAACTCTTGTCAGACACATGATTTAGAAACACCTCACATTTTGTTGATGTTTTGTTGGGTACTTTTGGAGCACAGTGAGTTTTTCCAGGTTGAATCAGTTTTTAGCATGGTACCGGGTGTGGATCTAGCTCATTCTTTCATGTCTCTAACTTCCTGCTATTGATCATTGTATACTGTCTTTCCTCACTGAATTTCCATTCTTGTGAGTAGCCTTTTAACCACATACTCAAAGGTCCATTTTTATAGTATTCCATTGGTCTGAATTGCAAGTCTTTATGGTTCTATATTGTAGCTTTGTAGTAAGTTTGGAGATAAAGAAGCATGCGTCATCCAGCTTTGTTGTTTTTTTTTTTTTTTTTTTTTTTTTTTTTTTTTCCCCTATTTGGGGTCCTTCAAGATCCAGTATGAATTTTGTTAAGGGTTTTTCTATTTA